ACCTTTTGACCCTGTTCAGAGTTTATCACTCCACTCATACACTGACCTCTCAATCAAGTGCAGCTCCGCCTTCAGTCCGGACAAAGGATAAACAGGAGTTGACTATAAATCTACCTTGTGTGACAATATTAGTGCTTTTGGAGGACCCCTGTTATTGTTTGCCTGCTATCCACCCCAGTGGCTTGTTAAGCCTTTATAATGACAGAAAAGCTGAACAAACAAAATACTTTCACTTTGGAACTTGTAATTAGATGCATCCACCAGTAGAGGGTGCTGATTCCTTCCTCTTTCAGACAAGCGGAGCCGTCGCAGTCGGTGCTAAATCTGCTGATGTGCAGCCATCCCAGGTGAGCCTGAGTGAGGCCTGTGAATACAACCTGTTTATTGTGTGGTTTCTTATACAACAGGATGAAGGGGGGATGAGTGAGGAGTCCAGTCGGGTGTTGACCGATGAGCTCTCCCTGCAGAATCACTGCCTTTCACACTGGTACAAAGCCTCTTTTTGAAACCAAATAATGGATTCTTTATAACTATTTATTATTTTCCATCAAAGTCTTCTGTAAATGTACCAGCTTATTATTTCAACAAGAGCAAAATGTGGAGAGCATAAGATTAGAGTAAAAACACAAAAAATGAAATATATTTTATTTGATCCTTGCCCAGAATGCATTTGTGCTTTGTAGTAGCTCAGATATCATCTGCTGAATGTCTGAATTATTTTCATAATAGGGAAGTTTTTGTGTGCTGCAGCTCCACTGGACGTCATCTGGTCCAAGATGTCTTGTTCCGGAGAAGATAGAGTTACTGCCTTTTCCATCTGCCTTTAGAACTCACTTGGGATGTCTCCAACATCTCTGTAAGTGTGTGTGTGTGTGTGTGTGTACATGTGTTATTCTACACTACACATGTCAAACATTGCGCACATCTCGTTCCTGCATGCTGTTGGAGCTGTCACTTCTGTGGCTGCATGTACGATCTATCTTCAGCAGGTTTTTCCCTCTGTACTGCCAGACCAATGATTTAATAACACCCCTGCAACAAAATGTGTAAACGTACACAAAGACAGCTCAGTAGAAATAGAGGTGGCAGCCATGGAGGTCTGCAAGCAGATGAGCGTAGACACTAATAATGTGCGTGAAAAGCTAGCTTTGCATGGGCAAATGTGGCATAACGTAATTGGAGACAGAAACAAACATTCCCCCGGGAGCATTCAAACATGCAAACACAGTGCAGGTGGACCAGTAGGTTTTACATAACCGAGTTTTCTAAAAATAACAAAGTAAATAGTAATAAATCAAGTGGAAAAACCCTTTGTATGCTTAAGAAAATTAGATTTCTATTTTTTTTTTTCTTTTTTTTGTCCTTGTCAGCAATGGGTTGTGATTTTGTTAATTTGACAAACGGAGTGGGGATTTGACAATGCCTGGCTGCTCTGGAATGTTTGAGTAATAGACTTGAAAGCCTACCTGACACCTTCTATGTCTTGTGATTCATTCAGTCTGTGTGTGATACATTTGATACTTTTTCACGGTTTGTTGCCTCTGCACAGCGCTGTGGCCAGTAAACTGCAGCAACGACGTCACAGTAATTGTGCACAGAAGCTCACAATAGTTGATGTTGCTGGAATTTTGTCATTTAATATATTTTATAAAAATCTGATTCTCTGGATTGAGGTATGAGTCAGAAAAGGTGGCTGTAATTTAGGTTAACAATGTTTCTGTTAGCCATTTTAGATTGATTTTTTTTCTTTTTACAGTTTTTTTTATAATTATATTGTACATGTTCCACTGTTTTTACTCATAATAAAAAAACAACAATGTCACAGTTTTTGTGACATCAATGCAGTTGAAACAATTTTATAAATTGATTATCATAAAACAAAATAAATGCAAATCTCAAAACATTTTAGAAAATGAAAATTGAGAGAAAAGTAAAAAATTGTGAATTGTACAGGAATCCTGTTCCAGAAATAAATTTTCTGCATTAAGGAAAAATGACAACTCTGATTATCATATAGAGTCATGTTCAGTCAAAAAAATACATGTTTTAATTATTTTGCCAGTTTGAAAGTACCATTTTAAAATAACAGCCGTTAAGTAAGAGTTGAACATATTTTGTGTGTTTAAATAATCTATTAAACTAAACATTTCTATAACATGGCATCCTACCTGATGTGTTTTTTTTACTCTTTTTTTGTTTTATTGTTAACAGTTTTTAATGTTCTCCTTTTATAAAATTTCTCCAGACATTTATGAAAGTTTTTAAAACTTTTTAGCTGACGTTTTTTTATTTTTTTGCTCAATTGCAGAAGAAAACTTGTTTATTTACTGTTCCACATAATTCTGAGCTATTATGAATTTACACAGGAGACAACTGGTTGAAGGATGATGCATCTCTCTGGGTTTGCAGTGGGTCTTTGCTGGATTTGTTCTTCCTGTTTCTCACAGTTTCATCCATTGTTCATTGACAGTTTTTATAGCTCTTCCATCCTACTTTTGTGATTTTTTTCTACCAGTTTATCCTGCAGTGTAAGCTTTCATGGTAAAAATAAAAAGAATGGAAAGAGCAGCCATTATAAAAATAAAAAGAATGGAAAGAGCAGCCATTTATATATATATATATATATATATATATATATATATATATATATATATATATATATATATATATATATATATATATATATATATATATATATATATATATATATATATATATATATATATATATATATATATATATATATATATATAAACTCTGAAATATCTTTCATAAAATGTGGAAAACTATTGATGAAGATAATTTTGCAAAGCAAACATTGTTTGGTATGTTACATTATATTGAGATAAGTCTAGATAATGAACGTTTCATGGTTTGGCAGAAACATTTTATGTATGAAATGGATAAACCTATAATAATAAACACACTTCAACCAGATAGATAGCTTAAAAATGCCTTTTTAGGTCTAATTATTATAAAAGGTTTTTCCTCACATGCTCATAGAACATTTTTCAAATAGCAAGCATGCGCTAGTTCGTCATTCCCTTATCATTTGCCAAAAATGACTCAATCTTTCATGTGATTAAAAACTAGAATGCTGGCGTGGCTTGCAGAGAACTGGACTCTTGCACAAAGCCCCATAACTCATTCCCCTTGAAAAATTGCACAATTCTTGCAAATCACACTACAAGTTATGCAACCGCTGCAACTGGGAAAGATTTATTTGTTTTTGAACTGCGTGAGGGATGTGTCAAACTTTGCATAAACAAACCACAGAAATTAGTTAGGGGTGGGCTTTGTTGACTCAAACCCGCTTCAAAAAAAAAAAAGAAAAGAGATTAAAATAATGAATAAATAATGCTCTCACCAGCGGGATAAACATTCAGATTATTCTTCAGTCTGAACTCTGTACTCTGTAGATGCTGCAACACTCCCAGTGCACCAAATCTACCTTGACCTTCTATATTCTGCCCACAAAGCCCCTCTAGCCTCCTATACCGTCCCTCCTCCACCACAGCCTCCTCCTCTACCATCACCAAAGCCATCTCCTTCATTCCAGTCCATGTCAAAGCTCAAATCTGCCCCCGGGCCAAATCCACCACTCTGCACTGTCTAAATCCCTCTGCCATTTATAATGGCAGAGGGATGTGAGTGAAATAACAGCTAGCTTTCAGTCCCCGAAAGTAGCAGTAAAATGCCTCTTTTCTCTACATGTGAGGTGAAATGTCTGCTCTCCATAAAACATTAAAACTGTATCATCATGTTTTAAATAAGAAAACTTGTTTCTTTTTGCACTTTTGCTTTATGTCACAGACATCTGTTTTCTTTGACACAACCGGGCTTTTCTAATGTCAGCAGTGAGTACAGTACCTTGCTAAAGTTTCCCTTGGAATTGATCCAGATAGACTAAAACCAAATGGATATGTGTGAAGTAAAAGAAAATGGAACCATTTAAAACATTTTACATTTTTTTAGGGAAAAAAATCCATGGAAAAAAATGCAAACTTTGGTTTCTTTTAAATGAAATCTGGTTGCATCCAGCAGTCGCCTAATGAATACCAATGAGGAAGTAGCTGCTCATTTAAAGTGACGGGCCAGGCAAGGAAAAAATTATAAATGGGAGGTTGATGAAAAGTTTGGAGGAGCTCCAGAAATCCTCAGCTCTGGTGGGGTAGTCTGTTGAAAGATCACATTTTAATTCAAAAATCTAAACATAATCTATGTAGTAGACCAAACCAAACGTAAACTTTTTGGCCTGCATGAAAAATGCTACTTGTGGCAGAAGACAAACATTGCACATCGTAGGAACATGCTGTACCCACGATGATGAGGTATGGGCAGCGTCATGCTGTTGGGGGGCTTTTCTAGTATTCAATGAAAGTCAATAATATCTTTATGAAGACATTAAAAATGATATCATAAAAGCTCTTCACCAATTCTGATTTATTTTACGACAATTAATGGGTCAAACATTTCAGCCTGTAGATGTGAAAAGTTAGAAGAGACACAAATTGTAAAAAAGAAAATATTAGGTCCTTTCTGGACAACTTTGTGTTAAATTAAATCCTGATGAAATACATTGTTGTTGAAATGTGACAAACTGGGCAACGGTGAGTGCTTTTGGAATGCAATGTATTATTTTTATTTGCTGGAATTGTATTATGTTCCTTTTTTTTCTTTTTAAAAAAAAATAAGCTGCTTTTCTCTCATTCAGTGTGACGCCTCGTTACAAATCTGTTTAAATGTCAGCAAGTTGCACTGCTGGATGTTTACTTCCTCTGACTCCCTCCGTCTGTTTCTCTCTCTGTCTCCTCCCCCTGTATGCATAAATCTCTCATTCACAAACATGAGATTTTACACATTAATATACAATATCAACCTGTGAATTTCAACTTCAGTGTGCCTCCCCTGTCCCTCTTTTCTCTCCTCTCTCTTATTAATTTGCTGACCACTCCCTCTCCTCAGGTCTCCACCTTTTTTCAGCTGCTGGCTCCTCCCATCCTCCTCCTCTTACCCACCTACCTCCCTGCAACACAGCCAGATCTGAGGACATGCCTCACTCACTCTTGCTGCACAGGTCTTAAGCGAGAGCACACAGGCACAGGCAGAATTAAACATCAAAGTGATAGAAAAGAACAGCAGCAGTGGGAAAGTGGACAGGAGGCTGGAAGAAGTACATGCAGTTGGGCTTTTTTTTTTTTCTAAAGAAAGTCTGACAGTGCAGAGGTGAGGCAGGAGCAAGAGGCTGCCAGGAGTGGGACTACCCAGCTGTGGGAGGTTCCTCCAGAGAGGGTGCAGAGATCTTTTGGCCTTCACTGGGAGTCTGAGCCCCAGGATCCAGAAATATGGAGCCCTCCATGTCAACCGAGGTCGAGGAAGAGCACAAGGAGAGGAAAAAGATCCAGTTTGCCGTGCCAGCCTCCGCTCCCACCAACCTGGACCCTCGGCAAGTGGAGATGGTGAGCTGGCAGATTATGTTTTGATCCATGAGGACAGATCAGCATAAGCTGTTAAATTGTTTGAGTGTTTAAAAACTAAACCTAAATCCAGCTGCTCTCAGCCTTTTGTAATATAAACATGTTCTTTTTTTATTTTTTTTTTGTTTTTTCCACAGAACTAAGTTTTAGGTTTTGAGTTTTCCTCTCTGTTGAAAAGCTATGATGACATTTCCCTCCCTTCACTTCCTTACAAGATTAATGCTTCGTTGCCTCTTCTTGTTTTGACCCCTTTCACAATGTGACATTAACGTGAAAGTCATCATCCGGCTCCTCTGTAGCAACCCTCTGACATTTTACCACTTGACTGTCTGTCATGGTTCTTATTTTTCTGTCAAACCTTTTAACCTGTGCTTTTCCGGTAAATCCTTTGACACCTGAAAAACAACACACTTTTTTGTTGTTTTTTGTTGTTAGAGTTTCGTTTTCCTCTGATCTCTGAGCTATAATGCTAAATCAGAGATAAGATTTAATGTAAAAAAAAAAAAACAAACAAAAAAAAAAACACAATTACAGTTCTTGGCCAAGAAAACGCTGAAAGATTTACAAGCAGGAATTCTTATCTCATCGAATATCAGTCGTGACATTCAAAGAGACATATTGTAGATCAGGGATAAGTAGGCCAAAGTGGTCTGGAAGATTGAGGTCAATGGCTCACTCCCCTTGAGACTTTGAAGAAAGATGAGGTGGGATAATAAGAGGGAGATGCGTTTTGTCACAGAAGGTGAGGAAGGAAAGGCGACCTGTGGGTCCATCTGTCTGCGGGGTCGACTCCCTTATCGACTGTCCCTGATTCCCTGTTTGCATAAAAGAGGCTCTTAATGAGCAAGCCTGACCTGTGAGCACAATCTGTCTTTTGTTTTTATGTGCCTGTTTCAACCTACATGTTCTGCACTGAGAAGAAAATTCTCACAAAATACTGCAGAAGCGTTGCAAAAACAGAGCATCTTTGCAACGCATCATGAGACTTTCACTCACACATTCATGCACTCTGATCTGTGCCATCACTTCCAAATAACCACAGGACATCAAGATACCATATGTACCATCGTTTTTTTTCTTTCTTTCTATTTTCAAAGATGGACTCATTTCTACACTCTCTTTGCTCAATCTCTACATGACTGAACACTAATTTCTGGCCTTGCAGATTGGCCCTGGACTCTTTTAAAAGCCGTGTTTAGGTGTGTTAATCTGTAAGGAACTAAAATTCAGTAAAGGATCCATTAAGTCTGTATCTGATCCCCTGGATCCCGGTGAATGAATTCAGGTTGTTGCAACAAGCTTGTTGTCTGGGGAGTACAGGAAACAGAAGGGGCATTTAGGAGAGCATGTGTTTATGCATGTTTAAAAGCTGATAGCATCTACTTGAGTTTTATGGGGTTCTCCAGGGATGTGTGGGTCGGCAGGGTGCGACTGTCAACAGCACTCATTTCATTCCCCTCCCATTGCAATTACTGTCCCTTACAGGTCCGCATTTCGCTACTGAGTAGCAACTTGTTTCACAACAAGCAGCCCCTCACTGTTCTTTCCGATGGCATTTAAATCCCAAAACCACAATCGACTGAATTGCTCTTGTTACTATAGAGACAGCCAGTGCAACTATGTCACAGAGCGCTCCCCCGCAGCCGGCATGTAAAAGGTCAACTTTAATGGACAGATCTATCTGTTGGGAGTGAAAAAAAGCTTGTTTACAACAATGCAATATTTTGGATATGTTAGGCGTGAACGCTTGGAGAGACGCTTCCGTACCTCCCACTCAGTGAGATGTGGGAGATAGCAACAGCTATTTGCTCTGAGCAAATCATCCTGCCCAAATTTCTGGACGTCTTTTTATTAATACTGAAGCAATCTTATCTCTCTCGATCTCTCTTGACTGACTCATTGAACCAGTTGTCAGAAACTATCATTGTTTAAACTTACTCTTTATAATTAGAGGTTATCTGACTTGTGTCAACTGGGACTCCCAGAGCAGCCTTGAAGCCCAGATTGGTTTCGATGAAGCTGAGCTGAGCTGCACATTTCTTGGAATAAAATACTTTAGAACTTAGTCAAGACAGAGAAAATTGTGTTTTGTGCTATTTTCTATTTGTTCGTGACAGTTTAACCTGATAAAATTGTGTGAGGATCTAATAAAACGTAAACAATCCTACCATGTTTCAATTTCATATGAACATTTTCAATCCATATTGTTTGATACGATGTTTACCCAACCTTTAAACTACTATCACTTCAGAACTTCAGGAAAGGCTTTCCACAAGGTCTAATAGTGTATTTGAGGAAATTTTTGGCTTTTCCCTTTGAAGTGCATTTCAGAAGTCAGACACAAGAAGGCCTGGATTGCATCCTGTGCACTAATTCATCCCAAAGGTGTTTTGTTGGGTTAAGATCTGGCTGCAGAGCAGTCAGTTTCTTCCACACCAAACTTTCTCATCTGTGTCTCGTGATCGGATCTCGTTCTGGGAAGACACTTCACCTACCTTGCCTGCTGGTGGTGTACAGAGGCCACCAGGCCCTCTAACCACCAATAGCTATTATGTAGCTGTAATTCAGCTTTTTTGTGTTGATTCGGCATGTTTCTCCAATGTTTACACTGACGTTTGAGTCCTTCCGCTGCCCAGATCATGCATTCTAGGCCAACAGGTTATTTTAAATCACATTTATGGGACAGACTGTGCATACATGGCTGTTTATCTGTGGCTGGGCTGATCAGAGATATCTCTGAGGAGTGTTGTGCAAGTTCCCATTTAACAAGAAGTAATTCTGAGTTCAGTTTGAATACGTTAACACTTAATAAATTCAACTTCATAGTTCATAATTCAAACACTTGATTAGTCCCAACATTAGCTCTTCTATGTTCATTCATAATTATTACTATGAAATAAAGGATTTGATTATGTTATGCAGCAGTTAGCATAGTGATTAAGCATTTTTTATAGCTACCAATTAGAAATAGAAGATTGGCCCTTGAAGTTGCCATTCCAATGGGGAAAGTTGGAGATTTCTGAGGGGCCCCAAGATTTCATATTCAATATTGCTTGTGCACAAATAGAGTTGTTGGTATAAACATTTTTTTGACAGTTTGCATTTTTTAAACCAGTGCCACACAGCCTTTTGTGTGTTGTGAACACATAGCCAGAGTCACTCCCTGCCAACAGTCGGCTCCCACAAAGAGACACCAGAATGTTGTGATTGTTAGCATAGTAGAGTTCACTGTATATCATTGTGCTTAAAACAAGAGGAGAGGCATGCATTTTCAAAAATGGTTTCCCCCAGAGACAAATATGTTGATCACCAGGTGCTTTTCTTTGAGGGAAAATATCAGCATACAGAAGCCTGAGGTCTTTAATCAGCATTGCCATAATTCCTGGCAGTGTAAATAGGCAGGAATTAGCACATCAGCTAATTTAAAGTGTTTGTAACAACCTCACCTTCACAGTGCAATTTTATGACAAAGTTAAAGCTTATTGAGTAGTGAAACACAATTTAAATGCAATGACTGGATGGTAAATATCTCCTCAGCAGATCAATTTAGGTGTAAGGGACAAGAAAAATGTGTGATTACATTCAACCTTGGTTTATTTTATGCCCAAGCAGAAACAGATACAAACACATAGAGACACAGACACAGCTTCTGTTTTGCTATATGTTTTTTTAACAGTGTCATGCTCACTTGCATCATATTTACTTTATAGTGCCATCGTTGGTATCCTGTCTAACATCTGAATTTCTTCTTGAAATCCTCTCAGATAGGCAGAATTCATTACATTTAGCGATAAACGTTTTTATTGTCTGGAACATTATGGATAAAGAAAAGAAAATATCCCATTTTTCATCGCAAACCCCACTCCAAACATGTTAATACCACATGCTTATCAAGTGATAAGCATGCAAAGTAATGTGCATAATGGACAGAGATTAGGGAAGTGGCACTGACAATATTACCTTTATGCGGACATGCCTTTCCTCCTTTGACTCCATCTGGCCTTGTAACTGACATAAAACAGAATAAAAAAGAGATTATCAAAGGACAGAAAAGGGCATTTGTCCAAAAAGCTCCCAACAAAAACCTCATATCACCCCAGAAGTTTATTGGAGGCAAAGCCCTCCAGATCCGGTGATAAAATCCCTCATGCCCCTCAGAAAACCGACCACCACCACTTCAAGTTTTACGTCACTCTGGGTTAAACATCAAACAATGACCTTTGCTACAGTGAGTATTTGTGGATAAACATTAGCAGTGTGGGGGACCATCAAGAAGAAGTCCCAGAAAGAACAGCACGCCTCAAGCTGTGACTTTTTTTCTTACAAGCAGGCTGGCAGGAACGTCGCTGTAGTGGCCTGACTCAAGTTTGCCCAATGATGTGATCTGTTTAATTTATGAGACGCTATTATTTATGTTCCTGGTGAGTTTTCCTTTGCCCGAAAACAGTTTGTAGATGTTTGTAGTGGCAAAAACTAATTGGCATGAAAGTTAATAAACCACACTTTGTAATTATTATTTGGACACAATCAATAACTCTCTGTTTTGCTGCGGCTTACATTTGTTTTTGTTCCTTCCAGTTTCTGACAGTTCTGGCATTTTGATTTATTAATGACTCTGAAATAAGAACATGCCAGTGGCATTTCTTTCATGTTCTTTTTCCATTTTAATTAAGGAGTGTGGCTTCTGTGAAAGGCAACTTTTGTATGTTACTTCAATAAGCATGCCCTCTTCAAGATAATGACCATTGTCTTGGCTGCTTTGCCTTAAAATGTAAAGTGCAAACAGCTAAAAAAACATAAATATTGAGAGAAAAGTCTTCTGATTACACTGTACACAATGAGCTGCAAATCCACCATAATACCCTCTTTTCTTGTGCTTGTGAGAGAACACGACAAAAACCTGACAGGAGGCCCCCAAAGCTGCAGCACGGCCTCTTAGCCTTTGGTCCAATGGTTTGGACTTGATCTATAGAGGTTTCCCC